GCGTAAGGGTAATCAGCTGGAAGTTTATAAACAAATCAAGGCTAAAAACTGAAAAATAAGTTCTGTGATTACTTAAATATTTAGCTTAGAAAATCATCTCATGCTATCAAGGTTTGTTTAGAGTAACTACAGACAAAAAGTTTAAATCTATTTAACCTGCATTTAATTGGCATCTGCAACGAAAAGTCAAATGCGACGCCTTTGTTAGCCCCCTGACAGAGGAAGCCCCACTCTGCGGCGCTCCGGCGAACTGAGAAACCCCATCTCAGCCGTTGCCTAAAGCCTCCAGAAATCCCGCAGCTTCTATCCCATTTCACAGCCGCACATTTCGGGGGTTCCAGAGAGCAGGACCGAGCTGAGGAACGGGCAGCGGAATTGCAGAGAAGTAATGCAGGGAAAGGAGACGCATCCCTTATGAGAAGAGAAGGCTGCGAGGGGACCTTAGAAATGCCTACAAATATCTGCAGGGTGGGGGTCAGGAGGATGGCGTCAAGCTCTTTTCAGTGGTGCCCAGTGACAGCACAAGAGGCAATGGGCACAAACTGAGGCACAGGAAGTTCCGTCTGAACATGAGGAAGAACTTCTTCCCTCTGAGGGTGACAGAGCCCTGGCCCAGGAGGGAGTCTGTGGAGTCTCCTGCTGTGGAGATATTCCAGACCCACCTGGACAAGATCCTGTGCAGCCTACTGTAGGTGACCCTGCTTCGGCAGGGGGGTTGGACTAGATGACCCACAGAGGTCCCTTCCAACCCCTACCATTCTGTGATTCTGTGATCCCGGGGAGATTTCCTTTCCCAGCCTCCCGGTGCGGGTCCGGGAGCGCTGCCCTTCCCCAGGAGAGCGGCACGAGCACTGGCACCGGCGTCAGCGGGAAGAGCGCAGACCTCGCGCCCGGGCTGATCTCAAGCCCAGGTTGAAAGGTGAAGCCAGACCTCCCAGGAGATGCCAGTGTCAATGCTAGGGCCCAAGTAAGCCAAAATCAGAGTCCACACCTTACAGAACCACAGAATCACTAAGGTTGGGAAAGACCTCTAAGATCATCGAGTCCAGCCGTCACCCCACCACCCCCACGCCTGCTAAACCATGTCCCCAAGTGCCACATCCACACAGTTTTGAACCCCTCCAGGGATGGGGACTCCACCACTACCCTGGGCAGCCTGCTCCAAGGCCTTGTCCAAACCAAAAATGAAACAAACCAAAAAACTATTCTATAAACTCTTCTGTGTTAAATATTTAACTTGCAATCAACCTTTTGCTCAAAAGTTCTTTTATCAAATGCGCCCAAGTAGTTCTCCTTGGAGACACCGAGATTGGAGTAAGGCTTTAAAAAATCTAGGTCTTTTGGTTGTTGTCACTCTTAATCACAGATATCTATAAAATTATTAGTACAAGCTACTCGTGGGAACAGGAAACTCTAGATTAGCTAAATCAATCAGGCCTGTGCAACTGGGGAAGGGAGACAAGCAATTTCTGAAGAATCAATTTATTGGCTATTAAAGACGCACTTAACATTAACTGCATCACAGATTATAGTACCCCATTTATCTACTTCTATTCTGCAGAATATCGCCAGGCTCCCGGTTTCATTTGGGTTATGGACTCCATTAATTCCATCTATTGAATCATTCCAAACAGACCCAGCGATCCGGCAGCCCCAGAGATTACGGGATTAAAGCGGTATCTGAATAATCTGAGAACGGAGACAGGTCAGAGGCACACTAATCAAATGTCTTTAGAATAAAGTGTATGCTGGTGGATCCTACAGTCCAGTAACCAAATGCCAGAAAACTCACTTTGACAGCTCCGAGGTATCCCAAGAGATGCTTGCAAGAAGGGACTTTTGGATCTAACCACTGATTTTTGTCAGCTGCTTTTATGGGTGAAAATGTGTGCCCTCTATTCAGACGTAATTACTCAGTATCTCACATCTTTGTACATGCAACATTTCATACTCGCTACAATTCCTTCGCAGTGCACGAACCCACAGGGGCAGATCTGAAAACTGATGGATATAATGGCTGCAGTGTTAGTGTGTTTAGTTTTTTGGTACGCTCATTAATTTACCAGAGCGTAAGATTTGCTTCCAGTAGTTCCACCTGAATGAAAGTGCAGAGTTTTTGGTTTTGACAGTAGTTTTTACAACGTGTTTTAGCTGTGACTACAGCTAATGTCTGTCCAGTTGCAGGTTAACGGATCAGGTTGGTGTCTTCTAAGGCCCTTCATTACTCACTACAGCATTCCAAAATTCCAGCCCAAGACAGACAGACGGGCAGTCAGGTGGGTGCGTGTCTGCACTGCCCACCATCCCCACCTGTGGAAGCTGTGAAGCAGTGGGACTCCGGACGCCCAGCGTCTCGCAAAGAAAGGCCTGACTTCACTTGGCAAAGATTAGAAGACAGCCCAGAGCAGCCAGGGCAGGACACTCAGATTGCCCACAGAGCACGACCGGCTCCTCATGGAGGGTTTCGACTGACTCCTTATTGAAGGTTTTAACTGACTCCTTATTTAGGGTTTTAACTGGAACAAGAAATTCCCGACATTCGTAGGTAGCTAAGTTATTCCCCCCCAATTTCTCTGTATTTGTACCTCACCTATTAAAGGCTTCCCTCCAGTATTTCCCTTCTATCATCTTTTCTCCCCAGAAGAGGGGCTCGGTCACCCTGGTGTCAGATACTGGGTCTATATATTCCTATATAGTTTGAAAGCCAGTATCTAGCAACCCAGTCCATTATTTGAACGTTTTTGTCCCAAATCTTCCCTGGTTTTGGTGTCTTCTACAGACTTTCTACCTCCCACCGATTCAGATAGAAACTTCCCCTTCTGACGTGGCTGCTGCTGGCTCGCTGCTCCCCAAACCTGACAAGTTGGGTACAAAAAGCCAAACTAGGCAGACCCCGGCATATTTCAGTCACTTGTTTGCAAATTCCTGGGACCAGGGAATGAAAAAATGAAAAAAATATTAAGTAATGACACATTTGCATGAGACTTTTTGCAAGCCATTTGATACCTTGGAAGTCCAACCTTGCAGAACGCAGACTGCCTGCCACGCGCTTCTGTGTGTCTTAAGAACTTCTCAGAAACGTTACTATTACTTTTAAAAACCCACACACATTCAGTTGCCCATTGAAAATTATTTCTCCACCATGTTTTCCTACATTAAAACTAAACAGAGACTATTCCTAAGGATCCACTCACTTGAACCATGGAGTTGACTTTATAAAACACGTGCTGTTGTGGCACTTCACTCTTCAAGAGTTTCACATTTTTTATTTAATGGACAAAAGAATTTTAACTAAAAATGTGTTTCAGATACTACACCTGCAAGCCCCTCTGCTCGTTTTACGTGGTACTGAGTCCCTCCGAGGGTACATCGGTGTTTAAATAGGAGATACATGCAAAGCACTCGGATTAAGTGGGAATTTGGTAATTCAGTCAATCTCAGCATTAGGGAGAAATTGGTACAACAGAAGAGTAAAACCGACAACTTCAAATGAGGTGTAAAAATGAGGTCTGAACTACCCAGTTACTACAGATCCCATATGATCTGCGTAGCAAAAGAGCTGCTGGGGTTTTTTGCCAACTGCTTAACGCAGCACATCGCATCTTTTCCTCCTTGAGGAGGTGCTTGTATTTCAATAGCAGATTAAGTCACTCCGGTGAATCATCACAGGTTTTTTGTGGGTTTTTTTTTTTTTTAGTGCTTTAGGATCCTTTGGGATAAGAAGCTCTATTATAAAGGCATATTACTGCTTCTAGTAAAGGATGGGCTGTTTTGCATTTGAAGCAAAACCTTAATTGATGCTCTGCTGACTTCTTCCACAAGCTTCAATAGTTCATAAATTCCATGCATACGGCGGTACCAACCAGTTGCTAAGAATTAATCTATATTCAGGTTTTAGGTATAGCTATGAGATAAGTTTAAAAAAATCCAAATGATGACACCCGTAACGACCAATTAACTTCTTGCAAAGCAGCAGAGTGCATTACATGGCAGAAACATGTTTCGTAAGCGAGCGTACTGTAAAAAATAATGCCAGTTTGACACTTCTGGCTGCCCAAGCTTTGCATCAAAGGAGCATTAAGGGTGGTCGGTGCTCTAGACTCTTCTTTATTTGCACAAAGACTCCGGTTTTCATTTTCCCTGTATTTTTTATTAGCTGTCAAGTAAATTCAGCTGGCTTGCTTCCCGAGAGCCCATACTCCCTTGCCGTGAAGCCCGCGTGGCACCGCGGCATGCCAGCCATGGTGCCTGTCCTCGGAAAAGGGTTCTGGAAACAGCTCCTGGTGCCACGAGAACCCGTTTGAGCCCTGCTCCTCTCTGAGGAGCGAGCGTTAACAAGTCAAGGTAAAAAGCACGAGTTTCTAGCAAAACACCAAAATATAATATGAAGGACGAAAGAGAATCGAGCAAAAAGGTTGCGATGGCAGCCATTTCCATCACAGCAGAGGAGGCTACTGGAGAGAGTCCAGCGGAGGGCTACGAGCATGAGGAGGGCACTGGAGCGTCTCTCCTACGAGGAGAGGCTGAGGGAGCTGGGCTTGTTCAGCCTGGAGAAGAGAAGGCTGAGAAGGGACCTTAGAAATGCCTCTAAATATCTGCAGGGTGGGTGTCAGGAGGATGGGGCCAGACTCTTTCCAGTGGTGCCCAGCGACAGGACAAGGGGCAATGGGCACAAACTGAGGCACAGGAAGCTCCAGCTGAAGATGAGGGAGAACTTCTTCCCTCTGAGGGTGACGGAGCCCTGGCCCAGGCTGCCCAGGGAGGCTGTGGAGTCTCCTTCTCTGGAGATATTCCAGACCCGCCTGGACGCGGTGCTGTGCAGCCTGCTCTGGGTGACCCTGCTTGGGCAGGGGGTTGGACTGGGTGACCCACAGAGGTCCCTTCCAGCCCCAACCATCCTGTGATTCTGTGAAGTCAGCTCAAATACTGCAAACCTGGGGGGAAAGTGGCCTTTCTGCTCTAACACGAGCCTTTCTGCACTCTTTTTGCACGCAGGCACCATGGTGAGTAAGGAGCCCAGCAAATGCTTACTCACCGCCTCGGAAAGCGAAGTTGAGCCGGCGGCTTCGCTCGCTCTGGAGATGAAATACGCGCTGGATCCCAACCGGCAGATTAAGAAGCGGAACAAAGCCCTCCAGGTGAGATTTAAGGACATCTGCGAGGCGCAGAACGAGCAGCGGGACAAGCAGCTGTCCACCACGCAGGAGCCCGACCGGAGGGAAGCCAAGGCCGTCTCCTACAAAACGGCGTACCGCAAGTACATGACGGTGCCCGCCCGGCGGTCGATCCCCAACGTCACCAAGAGCACAGGAGTCCAGACCTCACCCGATCTCAAAAAGTGTTACCAGACCTTTCCTCTGGACCGGAAAAAGGGGAATATTCTTAAAAGCGCCTCGACCGTCGACACCTTCAAGAGCCAGAACAACGGGTTTCTAATCGACGTGAAGGAGAAGGACGGCGGGAGCTCGGGGGAGGCCGCGCCGTGGGGCAGGAAAGCCAG